TATCAAACTTCCTCCATTGTTGTAAAAAGCAAGCTTCCATAATTTTTCAAATTTCTTCACATCTCTCTCTATTTATTATCTCTGCACATTCAAGCAAACTTCTCTCCATTACTAGCTCTTTATTTGAGCTCCAACATCATCAAACTCATTACAAGGTAGTAGATCCAATTTCTCTCTCCTACTGCAACCTTACATCGTTCTTTAAATCCATGAGTTGTTTTGAAAATATAAGAGCATATTCATAATCCTTGCATTTTTCTGATCAATTTTCATTCTTGGATCGTTTAATTTGGTGGAGAATTGAGAGAGAAAATCAAGTTTGAAAACTGTTTGATGTAATGTGCAAATTAAAAAAAGTGTTCATGTAGAATTTTCATGCGCGGTTTTCTCAATCATCTATGCATCATTTCATGAATTTTTTGATCCTAGCATGTTCTACTAATTTCAATCTTGAACTTTGGTGTTGGAATTTTTGGATTTCATCAAGAAATGAGTGAGTTATGGTGATCTGAAAATGAGGTTGCAAGGCTGAAAAACGTGAACAACATGGTTGTTTGGTAGGGATGATGATGTGTCATGTTTTAATTGAACATGGCTTAAGTTCTTTTTACAGCGCTTTTTTGCAAAAATAGGTGTAATAGCCTTTTAATATAAATTCTTCTTTGTTTACTCAAATTTTATTTTAATATTTCCTTCACTTCAAAAATTATGAAAAAATTATTTTAGACTTCTTTTTCAATATATTTTCATATTTTTATTTTTATTTCATTTTTTTAATTATTTTTCTTGATTAAATAAAATAATGTAAATAATTAGGGTTTTAATTTTTCTTTTAAATCTTGAATTTTTTTCCTATTTCTATTAAGTAAAAAATCCATAAAAAATATTTTTGGACTCCTCTCTGAGTTTATTACTTGAAAATAATTTTTTTCCAATTTTATAAAAATTTTGTTTACATTTTAAAAATCATTTGGACATAATATCTTTTATTTGTATTAATTTTGTTAGTTTGTGTAAATAATTTTCTGTTTCTTTTTTCCTTTTGAGATAAAATTCAAGAGAAACATGCTTTCTGATCCTTTTAATTTTCTTGACATTTAGGTTATTTTAAATCAAATTTATTTTGCCTTTGGATCTAATTGATTAATTTGTGAACTTAATTTCCTCTTTTAGGGTTTTTGCTTGATCATGCACATTAATGGATTTAAATTTCTAACTTCCTATACCTATAAAATTAGAGATGGAGTTGTTTAGAGTGCTTGAACATGTTGAGGTCATAAAAATTATTTTTTTGGAATTTTACAGTGTGATTTCATATTTTTCACAAATTATTTTCCAAAACCATCTAGTTTAAGGCTTAAACTTACTAGTTTCCAAGTTTGCATTTCTAAAGCAAATTTCAACCTTAACCCAGGGACTCCAAATTTTATTTATGACTTTTATAGGACCTTAGGAAGTTAGAGTTTTAATTCAATAATTTTTCAAGTCATTTTCATATTTTAAAACTATTTTTGACTTAAGATTGCATTTAGGGTTTTCCCTTTGAACAATGTTTGTAAATTGAAAAGTTTTGTACATGATTCTTGTTTGATTCTTGAAATAGCATGTGGTACTGACTTGGAGCATATCTTGAGTACAAATTCTTCAAAATCATTGGGTCTTGGGTGTTGATAGGTTGATAAACCAAATCCATCAAAATGGACGAATGATATTGATGATATTTGAAGCTTTAATCCCTTCCCTTTTCATCTTATTCCCCTTTCTTATTATATTACATGTTATGGGATAATGATCTCTATATCATTTATCCAAACATGAAATACATAAATTGCTATTGACCGGCCTCAAAATAGGTGTGACTTCTATATAAGTCGACTTACGATTGCTTAACATAGTGCTAAATTTTTTCCTGATTCGAATAAATGATCATTCGTGGCCCAAACTTATGATTGCAAGCCCAAGTATGTTAATTTGATATCTTTGATCCAATAACCTTGATATTCATTGTGTGGAGGCTTTGGTTCTACCAATCCTCTAATGGATCTACAACACCTTTGGTCAATTCGGATCACTTAAACATCGTTGATCATTAAATGATACTTGTGAGAATTCCAAATGGATAATATACTTGACAAAAAGCAAATACAACTTGTTGTGTGGAGACTTTGGTTCTACCAATCCTCTAATGAGTTCCAAATGCAAGTTTCAAGATGGTCATCCAACTAACCACTAATTATTGACTTGTTTTATCTTATGCTTTTATTATTTTTTATGCTTTATGTCCCATTTAGTTTTTGCATTTACATTTCATGCCATTTTCATCTTTACTCATTTGAGCATTTATTTTCTTGCCATTTTTATTTTTCTCACTTGAGCTTTTCTTTTTCTTTTGAAGATACTTAATAATCAACATAAACCCTAAAAAAACTCTTAATAATACTTGGACTATTTGGTTACTATCCTTGGCATTATGAAGCATGGGACTATTTCTTGGACTTAGGATTAGAAACCTTGGCCTATCTTGAAGACCTTGTGATCTTATCTGATTATTTTATCTGGAGTTCTTGAGGTTTACCTCAAGACATTGGGTTGCTTGTTTGGTTTTGTGTGCAGGTTTTTGTGATTACATTCTCTGTTTGTAATATGGAATTCACCCGTATACAGCCGTTACTCTGCCCAATTTTTGTGAAGACTTAATACACTTGAATTGGTCATGTATCTTTGCTTGCTTGCTTTCAATCCAAAGAATGGGAATTCTATCTTGGCTCATAATTTCAAGCTTTGGCTTCTTGTTGGTTAGATGGATCTTCTCCTTAGCTTTTACCTTATGCTTTAGGATAGTCTCTTCTTATCCTCCCATCTTCTTTAGTTTCAAAAATATTCTCCATCCTTTTGAAAACTCTTCTTGTTTCTAAACTTGAAACACTTTCATAATAAACTTGCACTTAGGTTCATGCATTTTCAAAACATTTTCATAAATAAACTTCAATCTACTTAATAATACCTTGACACTTTTTGTGAGAAGACTAAAAGTCAATGAATATCATTTCAAATCATTTTTGCCACTTTGGCATTTATCTTTAAACTTTTCTCAAAAGGTTAGACTCTTGTCAATCCTTGTAGTGATGCAAACAACTATACTTCTACAATATGTAGTGGAGTGAGATTTTTTCCGCTTGGGTGTTGAGTGAGGCATTATTGATTGTAAAATCCAAGCCATATCCTCCACTTTGAGATGATGCAAATTCTCCTTTCTCATGATTGTGAGTAGTAAGTATGTTTTCCACACGGACAATGACGATGATGTCTTATCTCATAAAATTAACCAACACACTTGTGTTTCAAGTTTTTTAAAAGAGGAACTACGTGTACCCTGATCCTCTATTGCACGAAAGGTGGTACGTAGGCACTAAAGGTTCGCAACCGCGAAGGGTGCAAAAATCATAAAAATATACTTATTTTCTCACCTCCACCATCCATCTTATATACAACACATTTTTTTAATAGCCAAAATATACAGATTTTCAAAGAGGTTCCTGCGGAGTACCGTAGATGTTTAGGATGCTAATACCTTCCCTTTGCATAACCAACCCCCTTACCTTGAATCATTACAGCAGCCATATCCTCGGCCAAGTGCTTCCGACGAACCTCCTTGTCTTCAGTCAAGATTGCCTCCCTCTCCTCCTCGCGCACGTCGAGGGAGCTCTCCTCGTTGAAGAGATCACAATTTAGGTAGCAAGGAGGCAATACAAAGAACCCCACGGGCACTTTGTCACCCTCGGGCATTACGTTCGCAACGCTATCCATACGCTTCCTCTTAGCCTCGGGCTCGTTGACGGGAATCTGGATGGGTTCAGCTGAGGAAGCCAGATTTTTTGATGAGGAAGGGGAACCACTAGCTCGACCGGCAGATTTGGCTTGTTCCTGAAGTTGGGTGACTGTGTTTTTTGGCCCAGAGGTGGACGCGTTCTTGGGTCTCAACTTCAACAGACGCTCAAAAAAGGATGCCATTCGACCTACAATAAAAAGAATCGTTAGTCGGGTTGGAAAACCAAAAATAGCGCGAGCACGTCCCTGCATAAAGAGGACCAAAAATACCTCTCTTTTTCGGACGGACTCCAGGTAAGGCCAGAAGAGCTTCCCAAACTGCTTGAACGATACCCACGCCTGCCCCCCTCTGACGGATTGTCTTTGGAGGTGAAAGATGCGGAAAAAAAGGGGCAGCGTGGCGCCTATCCTCAGATACTAGAAGACGAGCCCAAACCCTCGCATAAACGCCAGCGCGTTCAGAAGGAGTTGAGAAGGTGCCAATTGAAGCCATTGGAAAACCCCGACTTGAAAATCATTGAAGGGCAAGCGCATCCCCGCCTGTTTAAAAGAAAATTCATACATGGAGAACCATTTTCCCGGGTACGTCGAGCATATTCTTCGATCGCGATGGGGGATTTGGAGCATCCAATTGGCGGGGGGGCCTTCTGCACGTTCCTCCGGGCAATTGAACGCATCCGTCGCGTTTTGGGAAAAGCACGATCATTTATCCAGGGGCTCATCTTAATCAGTAATGTTATAATTCATCTTTTTTTTTATAAAAAAAACTATACTTTTATTGATAAAATGATGAATCTCTTTTATTTTAATTAATGACTATTTATATATTATATACTATGTGAATTTGCGAGAGTCTAATATAACCAAGTCATTTGCAACTCTTAGTAAGCCTCAACAAGGAGTGACTTTTTAGATTATCGGAAGAACCAAGATGATATGAAATATAATTAAGACATTGATTTAGTAATTTAATGGCGAGAATTTCACCTTTAAAAATAAATAAGTTGCATGTTACGAGTCCGAATATATATCTCTCTATCCGCAATATTTTAAATAGAGTACACTAAAATCTATGTTTCCAAGTACATTAAATACACTTAAAAAATGCCAGTATAAATTATGAAAATTACTACTAAAAAGATCAGTTACAAAATTTAGTAATATTCTAAAGATTAAAAAGAACAATTTGTGTAGTGAACTCTATGGTTGAGGGCAGGCAGTTCTCTCTTTGTTTCTATCAAACCATACATGTTTCTTTCAACTGGTTTTTGAGGGCTAGTAGGAACTGGTTTCTGTTCTTCAACTTCTTCATTGTTTTCACTCAAATCTTGTATTTCTAATATCTCAACTCTTCTATTAGTCTTTTTCTTTATCTTGATTGCAACATCTTGAGGGATGAATCTCCCACACACAATTACCTTGGTTTGCTTCTTCTCTAGAAAATGGCTCTCCAACTCTACAAGGAATTAAGACCAAAAAAATATCAAAACATAGTACATAAAATTCTCAATTTCATTATTTTAAAGTTTGGTATCCGGCCTTGCCCGGACTAATCCAAGAGACCGATTCCACCGTCCAATAGTCGGGGATCTATTTAAAGTCTATAGAATGGTCTAACACAAATATTGTTAACACTTAGCAGAATTCAAATTTAAGACTTTACGAAGAGTACAGTCTCAGAACCCAAGTCTTTACTAGGAGAACAGTTATTCAGTTTCCTACTATGACCAATTTTGTCTAACCTGGCATTTCAAGAAGGGCTCTCTTCACTTTTCTATAACAACCATTGCAGTCAATATTGATTCTCATCACCATACAATAATCCTGCTAAATAACAAAACAAAAAATGATTAATAATAATAATATGGTATTTATGATTAAAAGCTTGAGAAAAAGTCAAAACATGGTTATTAATTAGAGATTACCTTCACTGTCATGAAATCAATGAGAGAGAGAGATAGTGTTGAAGTTCAAAGTTATGAATGAGTTAGCAAAAGATTAAAAGTGGATTTAAAAACTTTGAGAAGTAAAAAGGTATATGATTATGAGGTGGTTAGTATTTTTCTTATGATGCAAAATGATTCTTCTTTGAATTGAAGAATCTTATTCTGTCTGAAACAAGTTTTCAATGTAGCGTTGTTCCTCGCATTATTCTTGGTTTTTTTGTTCCTAGTTTGTGCCTGCCACTACATAAACAAAGAAGAAATACTTTTCAGTTGAAAAAAGTGATTAATCTTATGAAAGAATGAAATGCTCTGGCTACTGCTTGCAAATATTTTTGTAATAGTTGTACATGTAGATGAATATGAGTATGAATAATTTAAGGAGTAAAATAAGGAAACTTAGCTATTTTGATAAAATTATTTTTAAGTCTTGAAATCCAAATTTAATTTAATATTTCATAAAACAATTATTTTCAAATTTTTAACAATATAATTTGTATCAAGTTGTCAAATGACTAGAATTTCACCCTTTACAACTATTAACTATCAATTACACTGCTATCAATTAATGTTACTATACAACTATCAATCAAGTTGATTTAACAACACTATAATAATATGATTATAAATATATTAATAAACACTTAATATGTTTTATGAATACAAATGTAAGATAAATTTTATTAGAAAGTGATTCTAAATTAAATGGATCAAGACTAGAATCATGCATATGAACACTTTTCTAAAAATATTTCAAGTACTCTTTAAATTATCTTAGAGTTTGCACGTAGTAATATTCAAGATAACTTAGTATATTTTATATTTGGATAAGACATATGAAAAATCGAATGTAATAAAAAAAGAAATATGGAATTAAGTAATAAAGGGAGAGTTCGAACTATCTTATTTTTTCTGAATAACAATATCTATAGACTAAATGATGTAGTTTCTTAAGGTTGTGAACCTTGATAAAAACACACTTTCACCAAATATTTCAACTCTTCTCACTAGGTGTTGCAACTCTATATTAAGTATCACAACTATTCAAATTCAAAAATAACGAACTGGAGTAACAATCATTGTCATGTGTGGCGGTTTTCCGCCACTAGTCGATCGTCGAATTGTTACAGTACACACTGCGAATAGTCTGATTGCTCTGATGTGTTATGCATAAGTGCTTAAGTCACTACTACAAAAAGCATCTTTCGAAACATATCATTACCTGGGTTATTCAATCAACCTAAGTAATAACACTTATTTAAGCGTCTGCATTTTTTTAATTTTTTTAAAACACTTTTTACCACAGTCCATACTAACAATTGTGGTGATACGCTAAGGTTTACAGACTTCGAATTTCAACACTAACATTTTTCTGTTTTATTGTTACAAAAAAAGGGTGTGTCCCTTAATTTCTATATTTATATTAAACCACCACGATTATTTCTAATAACCCTAATGAAATTTGGCATTAAATTATTAATTCTCAAAGAGTTTAGTTTTCACAAACTCAAAGAGAGTTAAATTTTTAAAGAAAGTTACAATTTTTACAATCTCGGATACGCTTTGTGTGCAATATATTCATTCATTTTTTTATACCTTAAATTTTTTGACATTAAAGGTCAATGTTAAGATTTAAACATGTCGTTTACTTGATAAAGTGAACTTAATAATAATTTTTAAACCAAGTTTCTCAATATACAGTATTAACTTTTGAAGAATGAAATATGCAGGTTGAAAGTGGAATGAGTTAGGTTATAAAAAGGTGATTGTCTCGCTTGTTCAGTTTTATATAATAAAATCTCTAAATTGTGTCACCACAGTTGGTTTTGTCAACCATGACATTTCTCTAAAATTAATATATCACTATGGTTGATTTTTTTCAACTATGGTGAAAAGTATTTCTCTAAAATTAAAACATAACAAATTTTAGTTTATTTCATTCATAACACAAGTTCCCTAGCGAATGAACAGGCGAAAGCAATAGAAGAGACCAAGCAAACTCTATCATTTCATCTTTGAATCAAGAAATTGAAAGACGAAACTTCAAAAAACTTATACAAAAAACACTTCTCAGCCTCTTCCTCTTCTCCATAGTTACGGTATGTTATCTATTTCATCACCATTTACGTTGAATTTTAGGTTTTTGCTATTTATTTAATGTTATATACAATTGTGATTGAGTGAAATTGGGATTTTGTGTTGTTGATAATGTTATATATTGTTGTTCTAGTTGTTTTGTTCATATTGTGTTGTTGTACTAAGATTATTATGGTGTTGTTGACAATGTTGTTGTTTTATTGTCATATTGTTGTATTATGGTATATATTGTTGTTGTAGGTGTTAAAATTGCTTAATCCGAAGGAAAAAAGTTGGTGGACGGATAAAAGTTTCATATAATTGCTTGAGTTGATGACACAAATACTACCGGAAGATAACAATTTATCTGACTGTCACTACAACAAATAACGCTTTTCGTGAAAAGTTTTCACATCATCCAGAAAAAAAACTGAAGTTTTATTCCAAGGCGCGCCATATTTTATTTTATTTAAAAAACAACTTGTTCCCTCGGTTATTTCAAACACCGAGGTGATATACCATTCCGGACAGGTTTCAAATCCTATATACTGCACTTTATATTTTTATTTGTTTACAAGTGTAAAATAAATGATTTAATCCTTCGGTTTCTTTGAAAACCCGAGGGATAAAATAATCATATTTTACTATAAAAACACTCGTTGAACAAATTTTACCCTAATGTTATCTTATTTGTAGTTGATCCACCGTTGAATGCATTATTTTTTTGGGATAGATTACAAAATTGAAAAAAATGTTCTTCTACCTTGAACAAAACATTTGTTTTCAGCTTTTGCAATCCATCTCAAACATTGGTGTTTATGTTGTTGTTGAAGGTTTTGAACAATTATGATTTATTCTTAAAAGTCTTTACTGATGGATTGCAAGTGCAGAAAAATATTCCAATTTTTGGAACAAACACCTTACTAGAAGTTGGATGCATTCAAAACATGCACATTGTATACGCTAGTGAAGGGCAATGATAATGAACATCAACAATTAGTCTTGGATGCACAGTTCTGATATTCAAGCATTAACACTTATATGATGGATTGCAAGTGCAGAAAAACCATTGAAGAGATTTGTTGTAAATAATTAATTTTAATATTATGTGTAAATGATGTAATATTAAAACATAATAATAAATAATAATAATAATAACTATCACCTCGGCTTTTAACTTTAATCGAGGTGATAGGTACAAAAAATAATAAGTAATAATAACTATCACCTCCGTTTTTAACCTTAACTAAGGAGATAGTTAAAAAACAATAATAACGTTACCTCGGATTTTACTATAAAAGCAATCGTTAGATTTTACTCTAATTTGTGTTAATATGAAGTCGCTCCAAACTCGCATCATTATTTAGGATTGATTGCAATAAATAAAAAATCTTCAATGTTCTTCTATCTAGAACAAATATTTTTTACCCTTGTAATCTATCTCACAAAATGATGTTGTATTTTTTTTGGAGAAATGTTATAGTTTTGCTTATTTGATAGATTGCAAGTGCAGAAAATCATTTTTTCTTCAAGTTAAACAAAGAAGGGAGCTCAACCTTTGAAAGTTTAAACAAAGAAGGGAGCTTAACTTTTCAGAATATGGATATCAGTGAAAAATAAAAAATATCATGGGGAAACATGTATCTAGCATCTTGTATGGACCTAGACATGCTGTATTTTTAATATTTTGGGTAAACCATCTTGATATTCTGCGAAGATTTGTTGCATACAATGTATTTTTCATATTCTGGGTAAACACTATACCATTTTTGTAAAAAAAAAATTAATCTAACCCTTCAGTTTTATTCCAAAACCGAGAGGATAGTTAAGTGTTATTTTTCACTATTTTCAACAGTCTTAAACAAATTTTTATCGTCCATTTAAATGTTATCAACACTCAAGAATCTTCCATTAGTGATCCGCGTGAAACCTAAGGAAAATTCATTATATAAGTTCCCTTACGATATTGGAAATCTAACATAAATGAAACATATGAAGGATTGCAAAAGCTAAGAATCTTCCATTAGTGAATCCCTTGAAACCTAAGGACGCTTGGAAAAGTTCTCTATGATGGATTGTAAGAGCAAAAAAACATTTGGGTTCATGATTTGTTTTATTAAATTTTTATTTGTACCGAAAATATTTTTGATTATTGATATTAATTACTTTACCCTTTTTTCACCAAAAACAAATGCATGAAAGATCCGTAGAGAATATTCTTGCACCCAACATTTGATCTTCACCTATATTCAATAATTCGAAGATCTAAAGTCTACATCTTGAGGGAATTTGATTTTCATCTAGATCCATAGGAAATTTGATTTTTATTTTAATTTTAATATTTTGGATAAACAATGTAATATTCGAGAGTAAACAATGTAATATTTTGTGTAAACAATATAATATTTTGGATAAACAATGTAACAATTTTTTTAAAAACAATAAATAAATAATCACACCCCTCAGTTATTTTGATAAACCAAGATATAAGATATGCTAGTTTTGAAAATAATTAAATTTGTTATTGCTTAGGATCAAACCCATACGCTAATAAAATTTTACCTCGGTGTTTTAAACACCGAGGTGATAAGTTTTTACTTTTTATGATGACCTTATTTACCTTGCATCTACTGTTGAGGTAAAACACATTTCGCGTCCGAAGTTAGAAGCGTTATTTGTAGTAATGTGTAGTTATGAAGCCAAGAAGATATTGTGTCCAATGGGTTTGGAGTCTATCAGAATACATGCATACCACAGTGATTGCATATTATACAGGAAAGAGTGTAAAAAATTGAATCATTACCCGAAATATGGTGAGTCACGCTACAAGGTGAAGGACAATAGTGGTGATGATAATAATGATAGCAAGAAGCGTCCTCCTGCCAAAGTGTTATGGTACCTACCAATAATTATAAAAG